TGAAGTCCCTTGGCCCTTAAAGGGGAAAGGTTGCCTACCCATGGTCTATTGTATCAAATGCTGCTGAGAGGTCTAATAGCACTGACAGGGTCACGCTTCCTCTGTCGATGCTTAGACGAAGGTCATCAGTTAAGGCGACCATGGCAGTCTCTACCCCATATCCCATCCTGAAGCCAGTTTGGAATGGATCTAGAAAATTGGCTTCATCCAAGGCTGCTTAGAGTTGAAGAGAGACAGCCTTCTCAATCACCTTGCCCAAAAATGGCAGATGGTATACAGGCCTGTAATTTTTCATGTCCAGGGGGTCCAGGGAAGTTTTTTTCAGGAGCGGTCCAACTACCACCTCCTTTAGAGAAGCAAAATCAAAGCAAAGCAAAGCAGCCTCATTTATATACCGCTTCATATCATGCTATGGGATGTCTAAGCGGTTTACAACTGTAAGCTCATTGCCCCCCCAACAGTTGGGTACTCATTTTAGCAACCTCAGAAGGATGCAGGCCTGAGTCTAGCCTGAGCCCTGGCTAGTACTGAACTCACAACCTTGTAGTAGTTGAGTGAGTGGCTGCAGTACAGGCATTTAACCACTGCACCACCAGGGCTCCTGGTGGCAGATGACCTCCCCTAAGGGATGCATTGATGACACATCTGAGAAGTGCCATGAAGGCATCACCCCCCTGGACGGACAGCCATGATGGGCAGGGATCAAGGGAGCATGTCGCCTTCCTCACCTTTCCAAGGATCTTGTCCATGTCATCAGAACTCAGAACTCACAAGCTCAAATTGATCCAGTCTAATCTCATAAATGGCTTGACTGGACACCTCATCAGTTGACTTTGCCCCAATATTGGCATCCAAGTGGGCTCTTATCTGAGAGATTTTACCTGCAAAGTAGTTGTTAAATGCATTACAGCAGGCAGTTGTTGGGTTAAGCAGAGGGTTCTGGGTAGATGGAATCGCCATCAGTTCCCTCACCACTCTAAACAGCTTTGCTGGATGAGACTTTGCAGGTGCAATACGAGCAGATGAGGAAGATCTCCTCGTTGCTCTTATCGCCTCTCTATAAGAATAAAGAAATTTCTTATGACAAGTTCTGTCAGATAAGAGTCCTGTTGAGTGTCATTTGCGCTCTAGTCGTTGTCCCACCCACTTCATGCTCTTTAGCTCTCTGATATACCAGGGCTTCCGATTCAAAGCGGGAAGTAAAGGATGCTTGGGAGCGATTGTGTTGATAGCCCTAGTAAGATTGGTATTCCATATATTCACCAAGGTTTTGACAGAGTTACTGGCATTATCAACCAATAAACCCTCTAGGGCTTTCTGGAATCCAATTGTTTCCATTAGCCTTCAAGGGGGACCATTCTAATAGTTCCACCACCCCTAAGGGGGCAAACAGTGGCTCTTAGTTCTGCTCTGACCAGGAAATGATCTGTCCATGACAATGCGGTGGTATTAATTATCACCGCCCACAGATATTCCTATTCTGTACTGAAGACCACATTGAGAGTATGACCCGCACAATGTGTTGGCTTGTTGACCAATTGAGAAAAGCCCATGGTTGTCATGGATTCCATGAACTCCCGAGCCGCAACTCTTAAACTGGTCTTGAGTGGGATGTTAAGGTTGCCCAGAACAAGAAGTCTGGGAGACTCCAGCAGCAACTCCAAGACCAGCTACATCAGCTCAGATAGGGAGTCTGTTAAGCAACGAGGTGGACGGTATGCCAACAGAATCTCTATACTGTCCCTGGTCTTCAGGCGTAGGTACATATACTCAAAGCGGTTCATCTTCTAGACAGGTGTCCTGGTCATGGTAAGATTGTATTTATAGACTAGAGCCACTCTGCCCCCTTGCCCACTTTCCCTTACTTGCTTGATAACAGCATACCTGGCTGGGAGAGCTTGATTCCAAGTAATGGCACTATCTTCTCCCAGCCAGGTTTCTGTAAAGCAAGCCAAGTCAACTTTTTCATCCAACAGGAGGTTATTGATGATATGTGACTTGTTTTTAACTGACCTGGCATTGCAGAGGAGCAGAGTAAGGTTCTGTGGCATGGATGATAAGCTCCCCATCCTATTTTGGGTAACAGAGTAGACTGAAGACGGGATTGCTTTCAAACATCGATCTTGTCTTCTTTTGCAACAGAATTTCACTCTGTTATCACCATATCTTCCTTT